GTTATGCAGTAATGTGAGGGAGAAAGTATACATGACATACCATTTGTGTGTGTGAGTGTATTACTGTGTGTGAGTGTGTGTTGTGACGTCTCCTGCAGAGACAGGTACAAATGTTCATTCAGCCTACAGAGCCCTGACGGTAAAGAATGATTACACCCGAGCCTGGCTTGGGAAACCAGTGAGTTTATTGGGGTTCCTCCAGGACCATGGGTGATTTAAAGGAAGCTGCATCAAGAACACCACCCCAGTTTCACTGAGGCGTCTTCTCTTCCCCAGCAATTAAAATTGGCTAGAAATAGCTACACAGAAATCTCTTTCCTCCTTCCCATCTCTATCTGTGTTTGTGTTTAATGGGAAGTTCATGTTAAGTAATTGTTTCACGTGACTAGAAGCCTGGTAAATCAATAATGTGCTGCTGGAGACCTGGGGAAGGTTGAATTTGAGCCTGAAGGCCATCTGCTGCTGCCATTCCCTGTTCTTCGTGGGAGACTCATCTTTTTTCTGTTTGGACCTCCAGCTGATCAGATCAGTCTGCCCATAAATGGGTATCCACTTGACACAAGGTCTATTGCTTTAAATATTAATTGCAATTTAAAAGGTAACTTCACGGCAAGCTCTGGAATAATCTTGGGCAGACGCCTGGGTTCTGTAGTGGCTGGCCTTTTAGCACAGGCTGTTGGCCGCTATGGAAGTGAGGAGGTTGTGTCAAGAGGTCACTGGGGCTGCAGGCTCGCTACACAGGGCAGTCAGACTTCATCCTGACCTTACCCTTGCCCAGTCAGTGATCTCCAGCAAACTGCATGTTGGGTACCAGTCTCCTCTGAGGCGCTGAGAGAATGCAGGTGAATGAACCCAGGATGGGGTTTATTGTAAGCTCTTGGTACTAGCAGTGTAGCTAGGGTTCTGCATATGGGACACATGCACAAAGGAATGGAAGCGGGAGGGGGGATACTCTGAAGGTCTGTAGTTTACATTAGGTATGAGCTGAGTGGTTGATCTGGCTTTCCTGTGGCCATGAGGCTGAGTGTATCTGAGTGTCAGCAGACGATGCCCTTTGGATCTGGAGGTGGAACCCTTTCTTCTTCAGGAAGCCCGTTCACTGCCTTCTCCTGGTCGCTTCCGTTATGCCTCCCACTTACCTTCTTAAGTGTGTGTAAACTGCTGGCAACCTGTTTTTTCTTTTCGCATCTGCTCTCCTGAGAAGGATTTTCCTATGAAGGTCCAGAGGAAAACCGATGGTTTCCTGTGGGGATCTGGCTTCTGTGGGGATCTGGCTTCTGTGTTGGGGAGCTTTTCAATGAATGCAGTGTTTATCTTTCCAGAGGAGCCCTGCCTGTGATGGGATGGCAGGCCCTTCATTGTCCAGAGGAAACTTATTTACACTTGGAAATTGAAAAGGGCAAGTGCTGGAAGCTGTCCTGGCTTCTTTGATGTCAGTGCTTTCTCTTCTGGGACTCAGTGGGGGGGTGGGAGGTGGGGTTATGTTGTTTCTCTCTTACAGGCCGTCTAGTGCCTCCTCTCTCTTTCCCTGCTCTGTGCCTGTCTTTCTTGTCTCCCTCATTCTTCTCCTGTTCCCTGTACTATGGGGGAGGTATATCTTTTGTATCTTTTGGCAACAGCTGCCTCTGGCCACCCCCACAGCTCAGAGCAAGGTGGGACCTCGGCTCAAATCTTTATTGCCTGTTGGTGCAGTATACCCTCTCTCAGACTCTCCCTGGGGAGGGTTTCCTGGGAGAGATCTATTTCCTTGGAGGTATGCCTTCTCCCACGTAGCAACTGTCCAGCATCTACATAGACTGGGAAGCCTTTGGAAGGACTTTATTCAAATAAAACCTGCTAGCGGCCAGCAAAAGAGCTCAGCAGGTAAGGGTGTTTGCTGCCAAAACTGACAGCCTGAATCTGATCCCTGGAACCCACACTGCAAGAGGGAAGCGATTCAGGTCAGCTGTCTTCTGACCTCCGTGGGTGCGCCGTGGCACATGCTCACCCATACACAGACATACAAGTGCATAAATAAATGCAATAAAAACAAGGAAATAAAAAGCTGGGCATGCCTGGGCGGTGGTGGCACACGCCTATAATTGCAGCACTCAGGAGGCAGAGACAGGTGGATCTCTGTGAGTTCGAGGCCAGCCTGGTCTACAAAGTGAATTCCAGGACAGATTCCAAAGCTACAAAGAAACTCAAAAAAACAAAAACAACAGCAACAACAAAACTGGGCATGGTGACACAGGAAGATTACCAAAAAGTATACAGATTATTAGAAATGGGTTAATCAATATGTAAGAGTTAGCCAATAAGAGGCTACAGACAATGGGCCAGGCAGTGTTTAAATGAATACAATTTGTGTGTTGATATTTTGAGTGTAAAGCTAGCCGTACGGGAGTCAGGCAGGATGAAAAGCAGGCCTGCTCGCCTCTTCACAACATATATGTATACATACATAATGGCAAGAATGCCTGAAGTCCACTCTGAGCAAAAGCCTTGAGTAGGGGACTGGAGAGATGGCTCAGAGGTTAAGAGCACTGGCTGCTCTTCCAGAGGTCCTGAGTTCAATTCCCAGCAACCACATGGTGGCTCACAACCATCTGTAATGAGAACTGGTGCCCTCTTCTGGTATGCAGGCATGCATAATATGTAAACAAACCTTAAAAACAAACAAACAAACAAAACTTGAGTATGTGCATTAGGAGCCAGAGTCCTGTGTCCCTCCTTTGAGCTCCAGGTTATTCACCCGGCACACCTGCAGCTCTGTGTCATTTCGTCTTCCTCCTTCACCCCTGAGAACCACCACTGCATCATCTGCTTGTGCCTGTCCAACATGGTTTTTAGGCTAGTATTCCTATCCTTTCACCCTTGTCTCTACTACCTGCTTTTCAGCATCCCCTGAAGATCCCGCTTCTGCTTCCCCTTGAGTGTTGAAGTTTCTCCTGCATGTGGTCCCTGGGTTCTTTTCTGGCTTATGCCTATGACAAATTTCTGTCTCAGGCTAAACCTTTCTCGTTCCCTCCATTCGTAGGCTTAGTCTACTTAGTCCTGGGCTCCCTGCTTGCTAGCTCCCCAAGGATCAGAATTGCTGCCCCAGCAGTCAACAGTCGAGACCACCCTTCCCATTAATTATTCCCCTCAGCAGGACCATCTCCCCAGCTCATGGATCAGCTAGGAGGAAAACCTAGCATACTGTTGACTTCTAAATACTGAGCTCACTCCCATACATGGTCTGGTATATCTGCATAGAAAGGACTTACAGCCACTGGCTCTCAAAGCAGACACGTGCCTAGACACTTGGTTGTCTGGGCTAGCTCCAACGTTAGGCAATCAGCACTCTGTGTACCCCACTACCACCAACCAACTCTATTTTCCAGCTGCTGCTTGGTCTCTGAAAGCTATTAGGAAATTGTATCTGAAGAAATCGTGGTGAACATAGAGGAACATGGTGGCACATGCCTGTAATCACAGCACTTAGGAGGCAGAGACGGGAAGATAGGCATAGGTTTGGGGCTGGTCTTGGCTAGAGAGTGACTTGTGAACTATTCTGACCTATAAAGTTTCCCTCCCCATCTTGAAACACCAAAACAGAACATAGTGGCAAACCTAATCCCAAATACAGGGAAAGGAAATATTCTCTGTGGAACTCTTGAGAGTAAGTGCCAGCCTGGGAAGCTGAGCCCTGAGCTGGGAGGAAGTTAGAGGTGACAGCCTCCTTTCTTCTAGTGTCTCTACACCTTGCTGTTAGAAATGTTCCAGGCTGTGGAGATGCCGCACCCAGCTTGAGGGAATGTTTGTTTGTTTCTGAACTTTGCGATGATATAAGACTAACAGTATCTGGCGGGGTTGAAAAGGTATGTTTGTGTCCTCGAACAGAAGGATGTATGAGATGTCAGAGGAAGCCCACGGCACGCCTGGGCTTGACTAATGGAGGACTCACAAACTAAAGCGAAAATACTGTTCCTTATGTCATGGTTTCCTGCCCTGCTGTCCCTGCAGGCCGCCAGCTTCCTGGAGCCGAGAGGGCCTCCTCGACTACGGCTGAGGAAACCGACATCGATGCTGTGGAGGTTCCACTCCCCGGGAATGACATGCTCAAGTTCAGTCGCGGGGTGACGGACCTGGATGCTGTAGGGAAGGAAGGAGACTCCCACATAGACTCCACGGTAGGTGATCCTCTGAGCGAGCTGTGTCGCAGCCGTAGCCTTAGGCCAGCAGGGGCCTTACGGCTCCCGCGGCTGCAGCTTCAGAAGTGAGGTGCCCTGTCACCCAGAGGCAGCGCTAGGGCATATTTTGTTGCCTCTCCGAGGGGTCTGACTTCCGCAGGTTCAGCATCTACGGGCCAGCACACATGCGAGGGTGCTGTAGAGCTTGTGTCTCAAGCTTCTTGCCTGCCAGGGGATCCCATCAATGTTCTATCCCTTTCTCCGTACACAACAGCGTCTTGTGATATTTGTGCAGAGCCCACCCAACAGACCCATGTGATGCGGATAATCACATGACTTAGCTATGTAAAACAGTCTGTTTGAGCCCTCCCATCTTGTCTAGCAGTTGTGTGCCTTTCAAACTCCTGGATAACAGCTCTGTTGAGTCGGAAACTGGCCCTCGGCATGTTAGAAACTGAGACCACAATCAAGGTGGGCCTCATCACCCAAGCCTGGCATTTCACGGTGGGACAATGAAGGCTTAGGGGAGCTACTGATACGATCCATGAAACAAACCCCAAAATCCCCAAGACTAAATTCGAACTTAGAGACAACTAAGCTAAGGAAGATAAAAACTGAAAGGGAAGCTCCTGACCCTTGGGTTCCCAGGAAGTTTTCTGGCACTTTCTATCCGCCAACTCAGAGTAGCCCAGTTCATGAGGAAACGCCTGTGTAGTTTGGTGGGCAGTGCCTCCAGTTTCCTCTGCTGCCCCATGACCTCTCTACAAGGGGCAATAGGCGTTTGTCCCCGGCTGCCTTCTTCCTGCATGTCTGAAGACCACCAAAGCCACTGGAAACAAAACCTACCTTCCTGGTGTTCAACTCTGACTTACTGGAGCCATCTGAGCGAAAGTGTCCATCAGGAGAAAGAGACAGCAACTGTGGTCACCTAGCTAACAGAGGTTCCTCCGGGTCATGTGATGTCCAAATGCTCTTCCTTCACTGTGAGAAGAGATGGGGGAGGGTGGAGCATGTGACCCCGGAAGAGGAAGCGAAGGACAGTGTGGAGAACTTAGAACATCTCTCTCTTGTTGCCATAGTAACATGATAGGCAGCTGTGTATACAAACATAGATTCTAAAGCTAGAAACCCCAATTTATCAGAAAGGTATATAATTGGAAATGAGGGGTTAAAAAGAAGAAAACATTTTATTAGCTGCCCGTCTTCCACCCTATTGGCAAATGATGTTCCCAAGGTATGGCAATACAATTTTCTGGCTCTGTGGTCCAAGCCCAATTATGCCAATATTTTCTCCCTGGAGCTATTCCTGTCGTTCAAAATGCAGCATCTCTAGCACATGGGTTTTGTTCTGCCCATGTACCCATCGCGACCATTACAGTGAGAGGGAGCACGCTCTCGGAGGTGGCTTCTGCCTGTGAGCCATGTTCTGTCTTTTCTCTTCAGGTCTCACCCAGTCCTCAAGAGCCCATGCTGACAGCCTCACCTCGCATGCTGCTCCCTTCTGCTTCCTCGAAGCCGCCAGGCCTGGGCGCAGGGACGCCCCTGTCCACTCACCACCAGATGCAGCTCCTCCAGCAGCTCCTCCAGCAGCAGCAGCAGCAGACGCAAGTGGCTGTGGCCCAGGTTCTCCTCAGCCTCCTCCCTTCTTCACAGGCTCCACTCTCATGGGCTTGACGCGCCTTCCCTAGCAAGGGGCTCAGGGCAGGTTTACAACCTAGGGAGCTCTAAGGAATTGCTCATGCTATTGGATCATTGCTTGTTGGGGGTTCTAGGAGGTGACAGGGGAGGGGGACAGGTGGGAGCTATGGTTAAAATGGAAAAACACATCGGTTCCCCCCCGTGTATCCCTCGCTCTGAGTTAGGCTTGGCTGGCTTGGCTGAATGTTGTTGGATGATGATTTGAATGTACCAAGGAAAAAGAAATACGCAGTCCCACCCTCCCTTCCCTACCTTATTTCCTCATGTTTGGGGTGGGAAGGGATGCCTTTGGAGTTAGGACAGGGGTGACAACTCTTAAAACAGCTCCAAGTACAAATCTGTGGCCAGCATCCTTGCACAGACTGCTGCTCAGGCATCCCAACCCTCTTGACCGGAACAGGTCCTCAAGCCGCCATTAGTGACCTCCTTATTCCAGACAGTATTTGATTAGGATTTCCTTATAATAGCAGTGAACTCATAGGAATTCAGGTAGATGATCTGTGCCATTTGAGAAATGGCTACCTTTTAGCATCTGGATGGAGTTTGTGCCCTGGAGTCTGGTTGAATCGTTGCTGCATTTGGGAGAGGATTGAGCTGATTGCCCTTGCTGCTTTCAGCAGGAATCCCTCCTGTTTGGTTTCCATTGGAGGTCGTTGTCATCCATACTTCCTTGGAGTTTCGTAGTTTGAGCCTTCGCTCGATGATGAGCAAGTCAGGGAATGGTGAAGACCCATGCATCTGTTCTGTGTAAAAGCTGAAGTGTGAAGCCGGAGCCAGGCAGGATCAGGCCTTATGTGGGTAGATGAAGGTAGTCAGGAGGATGGGATGGGATGGTTGGAGAGTTGTCTGTGAAAGGCTACTGTGTGCACCAGGATTCTGGATCGGACAGGCTTGACTACGTGCTGGGATTTTCTGTGTTCAATGCAGGAAATAGATTCCTCCAGGGAGAATTTACTGATCCTTCTGTGTGATCTGCTTCCTCTTCTGCTGACTTATGGATGAAGTGAATCCCCCGGCAGAGTGATACTTCCATCTGCTATGGCTCGGCCTGAAAGAGCCCTCTTGTCTTCCAGCCTTCATCGACTGTCCCTGAGGCACCAGCCTTGTGGGTCACTTTGGCTCCACATTTCAGGAGAGCCGAATCAGTGGGACGATGCTCCAAGTAGCAGACAGAGCCTTGGAGGCGGCATGGGGGTGGGAGATCTGACTGTGAAATCAAAGGCTACGCCATGCTGGTGGGAGGATTTGCAGGTGTTCCCAAATCAGTGACAGAGAAAAGGGAATGTCATTAATGACTTCTTATATTTGGAGGGGGAAAAACGTTCTTTGTCAAATGAAAGAATCCATCTCTGGCTAATGACAGCATGGCAGTCTGAGACTCTCCTCCTCGGTGTGGGGATTGACAGCAACACAAAGCCTGTGCATCTCAGCCCCAACCCATCCCGAGGCTCAGCATTTCCCCAAGTTTCCCACAGAATGTGGATCCATTCTCCGAACGATTCTCTTTCAGCATATCAATTCCAAAGTAATTATTATTTACCCAAGAGTCGGTCTGATGCATATTCATGCTGTCTTATTAGCAAAGGGCATCTGAATTTGAAGTCTCAGCTAAGTGCTAGAGAGAAATCAGTTGCAAGTGTCACATCTACACGTGGCGTTGTGGCAGCGGAAGGAAGCACTCAGCCTGCACTCAGTCAGACGCGCAACTTGTCACAGGTCGGCCTTCATCAGGGCCAAACCTAAGAGTGGTTTTCTGGCATAGCAAGAATCTGTCTTAACAAAACATCCCTGCCCTGCCCTATTCTAACTGCCTGTCCCCTAGAAGGCATTGGATCTAAGGAAAGGGAACCTTGTAGTGTTCCAGATCCGTTTCATGAGCCTCTCTCTAAGTTCTAGGCGTTTCACCAGGTTGGCCAGTCCAAGCCTCTTATTTACTCAGAATCTATTGGGTGTAGCTGGCAAGTGAGCTGCTGGACCCTCGGCTCAAGCAGGAATACGACGAAAGGCTGCCGTAGGGCAGTGATGACTTTGAGTAGAGTGGTAGACTTCTGAACTTTCTGTCAAACTCGACTTAAGGTCATCTGATGGCTTCTTGAGCATAGTCCTACCTGTCCCTGCCATTGTCCTTAGTCGCTCTCTGACCACCTGCCTTCTATCTGTATCTTATATCTACTGCCAGGGACACAGTAGGGTACAACTGTACTCTCAGCTGACCCTTGTTCCCCCCCCGCCCCGGTCTTGCAGGTGGGTTCAGTCTTAAACCAGCCTCTTGGAGCTCTGTTCCTCTGTAGAATTTGATCAAAGGACTTTCTGTCATTGTCCCCATCTATGGGTCTAATCAGTTATGCAAGGCATGCAAGCAGGTTGACGACAGGTCATCCTGGCATCTATCATTGGCCTGCAAGGGACCGACTACAGCATCCCTGGTTCTTCTGCAGGACCGATTAGTTCCCGGGGCATGTCAATTTTCTCTGGTTCTGTCAGACAGCTGCTGGCACGCAGCAAGGTGTCTCATTGAACCACCAGTGGTCCCCGTAATTCAAGTTATAACTGTCGTCTTAGTGTTTGGGTGAGAACGTAGTTTCCCTTTCTCTGAGCTCCCAAACCCTCCTGTATTACTTCTTAGTCTAAAATCTAAGGGTAAAGCCCCAATTTCTTGTAGGTAATATGTGCTCTTAAAGTCCCTCTTTGCGTTCTTTATGTCCCCCACACCACATTTGCTCTCACACACCAATCTGATTTGGCTGTTGCCTTCGGGACCATAGTTAGTCTTTTTGATGTTGTTGTGACTTTTTCTAAGACCCCCAAGACCTCTTCCAGCCTCATCTCAATTTCTTCATTGCTGATCTTGATCAGGCCTTCCTTGGCCTTAAACACGTACGAGCAAAGATCGTATAACCAACTCCTAAGGGTTTCCAGGTCATTCTGCAGTACATAAATAGTGAATTACCCTAGTCCCTCTGAGACTCTCCCAGCCCAGCATGAGGCTCGCCTGGCTGCATTAGCTTCCGCTTTTACCTGGACCAGAAGTTCAAGGGTGTGGATGAAAAATGGAGCCACACCTTGAATCGTACCTGGGATGTAGTTGGTGCCTGCATAGCTGCATGCTGGGCCTGCCTGGCTCCAGGATTGTGGCTGATTGACAACAGTTAAGTGGGCCAGATATGTTTACAGTTTGCCAAGCCCTCGCCTAGCTCCTGGGAAAATGGTAGTGAAGCTCATTGTTGCTATTTAAAGACCTCCTCTGCCTGTTGCCACTTTTGCTTATGTAGGAACAAGTAATTTGTTATTTATGCTTTATGATATTGTGCGTTGTGGTTAGAGAAACAGTGCTGAAAGCTGCACCCCCCCCACCCTGGCCCTCCACGTAGCGTTCGTCCTTGTGGCTTCTCCCTGTCCCCAGTCTTGCCCAAGTCCCTGACCTAATGCATGCTGAGACAGCACTGCCTGCCTCCGCTTTATCTGGGATAGGGAAGTGGGGGGTGGGGTTGCTCTGGTTATTCCCGCTGCCATTTCCATGTGCCCGCCACTCCCTAACTTCAGCCTGGCCCTGCCCCCACTTCTGATGGAGGAGCTGGAGTCCAGGCAAGTAGGCCGGAGAGTGCGGGGGTCGATGGTCTGAGGTGGTCGGGTGGGTTGAGGGTGAGTGCCAGACTTTGGGGAAGTGGTACAGGGCTGGAGGGGACAGGGTTGGTATTAGATGTGTTGTTCTGGGATTGGGATGCAGAGCTGGATGCCAACACGAAGTGTGGCTCTAAGTGCCACAGTGCTGTGTTTGTGCCTCTGGCTTAGTCGGAATGGTATAGTCCATACTCAAGATGCCAAGGCTCTGGAGAGGAGACATTCCACAGCTATCTTTTCAGAAAGGACTGTGGTCAGCTGTGTGGGGAATGTTCGATTCTTTGTAAGAAAAGCGTCTAAAGACAATTGTCCGAGACTCATGGGTGTCGGGGGTGAGGGTGGTACCTTCTACTCATGTCCTAGTTGAGAAGCAGAGCCCAAACCAAGGGTGAAGCTAACACTCCCTCATTTAGCACGAGTTTAAAGAGCTCTAAACCGTGCTGTTCTCACTTGGCCTGGTGTGGGTGCTGCAGGCAGAGGTCTGAGCCTCATGCCTGATTCCACTCTGGATGACTGCAGAAGCAGGAGGTTCATTAGTGCTGGCTTGGGCAGTGAGGGCGGCGCGTCATTTCTGTGCACGTGGAGCTTAAATACATCCAAAATGATACCGCTCTGCACTGGCAGAGGTAAAATTCTTATGCAATCTGGAACAAGAGGCACTCGCTCTCTGGGGTATTTGCTCATGGCACTTAA